CTCTCATCTCCAGAAATATTTGCACACGAAGAAATCACAATCAGTCGGCCGTCTACGGCGATTTAATCGTGCCGATTGTCCGGGACTATTAATTAATCGACCATTACCTGCATAGTTTGAAATGCGCAGCGCGGAACAAGTACTCGTTCTAATTACGCGCGCCCTCATTAACCGTAGTAATATAGTAAATTTACAACTTGTAATTATCTCTCATCCGGCAACGACGACAACGACGACGGCGACGTCGACGTCGACGACGAGTATGACTACGATAGCTCGCGCAACGCCACGACGTAGTTTCGCCCGTGTTCACCCAATCAGCGAAGACGGTATATCCGTATCGTTATCGCTGCTCGTCCATTCAGAATTTACGAACGGACCCTTGTAGCGGTGTTGATAGTTACGAGGCCGGTCTCAATTAGTGGAACTTACGTCGCTAGGGTCCAATTAGACGTAGGCCAGCGCAGCTACACCCTGTTTGCCCAAGTTTGCCGTGCACCATCCTCACCATCGTCGTCGTCAACGTCGTCGTCGCCGCCGTAGTCGGCGTCGTCGGGTAGAGTTGCCCGTCGTCCCCGCAGCTGCAGCGGCACTGGTTGAGGGTGTCTTTTTCCTACGCTAATGACTAATTAGCAGTCTCTTCACTTCATAGTATAATGACACGGGATCCACAGACCGGGGAAGAGGGTAGGACCGTCGGATCATTATTAAGCCCCGAAATTGCAGCCGTGCTTGCCACCCCTTCTCTTCGGTTCTTCCTCAGAGGATTTTACAATTCGGAGAAAGGGGGGGAGGGGTATTAATAAACGGACTTCTCTCTGTATCCGTCCATTCTGCCGCATTGTGTTATGACGAAGCGCCATATTTTATTGAACATCTTCGATACGAGTTTCTTCGATGTAAGAAAAGTGGCGTCCGAGAGAGATTGAACTGGTGAGTGCAGTCACTCACAGTTTGGGTCAGCCGAGTACGTCACGCTGACCTTTAACCGTAATAATATATTGAGTCCACTAAACTTCCGTTTTCCTCCTGCGAGACGACTTCACCCTCTCCGCCGTCGCCGTCCCTCTTTCGCTCACGTATAACCATCCGTATTTGTCCATCCCGCGCGCACTCGGTCTCTCCTTTCCGCCTCCACGGACTTTCTTTTACATTTATTTATTTCCTAAACGTCCGTCCCCACCGGCTACTTTATATTTGACATTTTTATTAAACCACCTAGACCGGCCCTGTGTCCGCTCCGACGGAATCCCCGGGATAGACGGACGGACGGCGGGAAACGCGAGTCAGAAGGGTGGCTTGGAAGCGCGACAGGGGACGCGGGGATGGAGTTCTCCCATATTGCTGTTAGAGCAATTTCGTAATCTCGGAAGGGTGCTCCTTATATTGACCGAATAAAAAGTCGTATCCGTTGCTGATTCCACGATCGAATATCGCCGTTCCTTTCGAGGTTCACCCGTGTTCGAAGGGGGAGGAGGGAGGGAGGGGGGCGATTGACCGTTCGCGTCGACACGGAAAAATCGCTCGAAATCAGTTTGCCATTTTACGATTATGCTATCTCGCAGACGAGAACTGTCGCGCAGCGTGCCCGAGACGCGAGACCGATTTTATCGGCGAAGGATCGAATTTCTCGGCGACCTCCTCCTCGTCGAGAAATAAAACGATGACTGCTAGTTTCCAGTAGCTAAATATGATCCGACAAATACCGGCGGTATACAAATACTAGGGGATTTTTATTATTAACATTTTATTATATATACATTACCAGTACCTTATCGCGGGTTGGATCACGCAGAATTTCCTGCCTGGCATGGCGCATGTTTATGACGAAATCGCTGCGTTTTAAAAGATCTCTGAAAATTCCTGGGGAGATCCGAGAAGATATCGCTGCAGTAAAGAGTCTAATTTCCATAAGACCGACAGTAGTAAAAGACGCCGTAAATCGCGTCGAGCGAATTTCGTCCTTTCGCAATTTCGTTTTATAAGCGAATCGAGGTATCGACGGTGTCCGCGCTGACGACATCCGCCGCGAGATAATACAATACCCGAAACGTTTTTGCGTGGAACCGGCCGATCATTCACAATCAGAGTGGCAATATCCCGATATTAGCGAAAAAGCACTTGCCGACTCTCTTCCTGATTTCTTAGGTAATTTTTACACAAGTGTCTAAATACATTTCGCTTTGATATCGATCTATAAGAAATAAATAAGGTTTATTTCTCTTTACATATAATATTTCATAATTTTTGGATATGTTCTTCTACATAAATTTGTTCGTTTTCGAGATGAGCTTGTGATTGTGACAGGCGAGTAATTTTAATCAAGGTACGATGTGTGAATTCTCGCAGCAACAGGCTCGAAATTTTTCACCGATACGAATGATTAATTTCACCCTGATTTTTTTTGTTTGATATTTTGGTATCTATGCACCGAACTTTTAATTTGCTCGCGAGCATTGGCAATTTCGATATTCGCAATTTGCCAATGAAAAGGGTAAAGTAACGTCCATTTTTTTTATTGTTTGACTCGTGTAACCATCGCGATCAAATACGATGCATAGGCATGGCTATAACAGTTTGCAAAATGCGGAGGATAGATGCACGAGTTCTCCCAGTCGCGAATTCATCCACGGTCGAACTCGTTCATCGTTCGGGTTTATTTCGAGCAATCGGTTATCGATCACGCAATTAGCATTAGGTACTGAAAAGAGCTTAAAAACCGTCATCGTTAGCCGCGTCTTTTCGCGGCGCGTTGCACGCGCATTTTTTTTTTTTTTTTAAATTCTATCGCGATGTCAATCGGACTAAGGGAGGAGAATCATTAAAAAAAACTAGACCCAGGGAAAAACGAAGCGTACAGGTCGTTTGACGAATCACGAGGCAGCTCTTGGATATACCGACGTGGGAGGCGCGCTGCGGGAGAAAACGAGGCGGGGGGGATGATGTTTTTTTCCTCGGCGGCGCCTCTTTAATTTGCCCTCCAATTAACGGACGGGGTCCTATTTGAAAAATACCTGCCACGAGGGCTGGCAATTATACTTCTTCCTTTTTTTTGCGTCACGAGCGCGTTATTAGCGCTATCCGTCCAGCCCCGCTACCTCCCGCCCCTCGCATCTCTCTTTTTCTCCTTCGTCTCTCGTTTGCTCTTTCCTTCCGTCCACCTCTCGCACTCTCTCACCTATTTCCTCCACTTCTCTCATCCATTTTGTCTTAGTGCATGTGTGCGAGCGTGAGGGGTTGGGGAGGACGAGTGGGCGAACGTATCCGCGCGATTGTATGCGTTTTACGTGTATTGCGGAGCACGCGGGTGAAGTGATGCGACGATGGGATGAGGGGAGGCGAAGGAAGGAAAAGGATGGAGCGAGATAACGAGATAGAAGAGGACGGGAGAGAGAAAAGGGGTTGGTGGTAGCGGGTGGTAGCGAGAGAGAAAATTGGAACCGGGAGTGAGAGAGCGGTGCGGTGCGGTGCGGTGCGGTATGGCGCGGTGCGGTGGCTGCGGGTCGCGCGGGGCCAGGGAGGGAAGGAGTGGCGTTTATAACTCGTGCCCGGGTCTCCCGGCTTTGAGAAGGCCAATTAGCAGCATAAAGCTGCAGCTCGGCCCCGAGGCCGAGGATGTTTGTATGTAATAATGGATTGTTACTCAAAGTATCCGGCTAATTAATTAAGCCCCCGCCGCGCGTCCGCCCGCTCGTCGTCGTTCCGAACGACGCGGCGCGGCGGTAGTGGCGGTGACGGTGGCGGCAAAGGAGGTGAGCAAAGTGGGCTGCTGCCCGGTATCCCTGTACGTCACCCTCACCCGCCAAGGCGGATCGCCTCGGAAGAACGTAACTGCGTTCTCGCGATCACGAATGCCGTTTTCGTCCCCCCCCCTCCCCCGTGATCCTCGCGCGGACGTAACTTAATCGAATAAAATCGCATTTTTAACTTGACTACTCTGGCGGCATAAATCGCGGAACAGCTCGCGATTTCCGTGATTGAGAAAATATCTCGGAAACAATTTAGATTCATAATTTACGAGAATTAAGAAATGCAATTAAAATGTATCCTCGTCCATCAATTTTATCGCGTAAACTTGAAATACAAAATAGAAATTTTGCGTGATTTTACACGAAACAAACAAACACTGTAGAGTCAATTACTCATCGTTAACATTCCCGAGTGGGACGCAACGTTTAAAGTTCAAAGGATAGTTTACAATTTATCTCAAGATGGGATAAAACTTCCAGTTTCCCACTTGTGGGAACGAAATGCGGTGAACGGTTAAAATAATTGGCGCTATAGAGAAATTTATTTTCGCCTGAAGAATGCTCGCCCAGCGCGCTCGTTCCGCGGGACGGTTGAGAGACGGGCTGCTTCGGGTGTCGGTAGGTAGGCGAAAAGAGAAAAGAGAGGAAAGGGTGGAGCGAGAACGAAAGAGGAAAAAGAGAAATGTTTTATGCATCGCGAAAGATTCCGACGACGCTCGTGACGCAGCGCGTCAGTGCTTATTGGAGTCTGAGCGCGCGAGGACGAGCGCAGAGGCACGGTTCCAATTAGCCGCGCTAATTATTGCGTGCTGTCAGCCACTTACGACCGTCGGAGATGCTTGTAACGGCGGGATACGCGTGCATGGCACGCCAAACGTCCGCGGTTGTCGCCCCCTTAAAAAGACACGCAGATGCATACAACCCGTCTGAATGCTCGGGGAAGGTTCTCATTAACTCGGGAAATCAAATTTCGAGGCGCTTGGAAATGACGACGCCACGCGTATAATTCTCTCGTCGCGGGTACAACTTTTTTCTCTCAGTCCGAGCTCCTCTCGACTTGCTGAGAATTTTATTTCACTCCGTATATTTATCGAACTGCGCTCGATAAGCGATTTTAGGTGTTTAGCGATTGTTTCAAGTTCTATCACAATGTTAGGAAATTGAAAAGAAGAATCTGCAGATTTTTTCTTTTTTAAGCAACGATGCGGGAGAATATAATTGTTACGATTTGATTTGCTTTTGATGTTCCAGACGGCGCCGTAGTTGAGATCACGATGACTATGGACGTGAGCAAATCCGAGACGAATAAAAATGGTTCGACGCAGCAGGAGTGCGCCGGCTGCGGGAAGACAATTACGGAGAGGTAAACGGCGACACACGTATAAGCAATGCACTTCTGTACAATCTGTATTCTTAAAGAAAACATCTCGTCCTCTTGTCTTTTCTGTATTAATAAATCTGCTATGCTATATTCAATATTTTGTCGCAAGGACGTACATTGCAGATATCGATCTCCGATCTCTCTAAAGCGGTCCACTTTCGCTTCGTTTATAAATGTTCAGCCATGCTTTTGCGTAAATGTATTTTAAATATCAAGATAAGAGAGGTATTTTCAAGACTTAACGGCCGGTAAGAACGAAAACTACGGTCGGTCCTTCAGGTACCTCCTCAAGGCCCTGGACCTCTACTGGCACGAGGACTGCCTCAAGTGCGGATGCTGCGACTGTAGGTTAGGCGAGGTCGGCTCTACCCTCTACACCAAAGCTAATCTTATCCTCTGTAAGAGGGACTACCTCAGGCTCTTCGGGAACACGGGATGCTGCGCGGCATGTAATAAGCAAATACCGGCGTTCGAGATGGTCATGAGGGCCAGAACGAACGTCTATCATCTCGACTGTTTCGCCTGCCAGCAGTGCACTCATCGGTGAGTGCGAACGACAGAATTACCCTTTATTACTAGGTCCGATTTTTTTAATGAGATTTTAATTTATCTTCATAATTAGATCCGGTCCTTTTTCTTCAAAATCATTCGTCTATTCTCATTGCCCCCTCCCCGCTCTAAAGCGTGAATTTACGATAGTCTTATTTTGAGAAAATGTAAAAAGAGATACAGCACTATACAGAGAATAGATTCACTATTCCGAAACCATGTAAATTGCAACGCGCAGAATTATTTAGAAATCCGCGCGATTTGCTTGTATTAAACGACAGGTGGAATTTCGAAAATAGAAACAAAACTCGCTTTGGGCTCGTCAATTATTAAAAATTACCGCGTGACGTAAAACGCGGGACAACCGGCGGAAGACTCGAATCAGTAAATTTGCTACCTCGCTTCCTGCCCCTCCGACCCACCATCTTCCTTTATTTTCTTATACCGTTCACTTTCATGGCGATGCATCTTTCCCGTCGCGTGGACACATGGGTGAAGGCGAGGAACGACTACGGGGAAGAGACTACTAGTCCGCGAGACAGACTCAACGGGAAGGGGGTGGGGGTTAACGGGGATAGGTTGCTTTACAGGTCAGCTGGGAAATCACCCTGCGCTTTTCCGCGCCATGACCTCTCCTTTCTTTCGCGATGCCGTTCTCCGGACCGACTATAGGTCGTGAAACCTTGCGGCACGTTCTCGTGCAGCCCACGACCTCGGTTCTCCATCTGCCGAAATGTGCGATTTGTCGTCTACTTCCTTATCGAACTATCGTTCGTTAAACTATTTTTCGTTCATTTTTATCAACATTTAATTAGCATAATTTTATTTTTGATGACAATTGATATAATTGTTATTTGTAATTAAATAGGTAAGTAAGATTAATTTGAAAGTTTATAAAATAAAAATTGGAAATTTTCAAAAACAATATTTATCTACATTTAGTTGTGTGCCAGGAGCATCTTGGCATTCCGCGGCCTTAAAACTTCGTTATAATATATTCATTATTGATTATTATCGTGAGCTCTTTAATTCTAAGGCGCAATTTGAGACTTCTTGTAATCAATGAGTTACCAACTGAACGATGAACTCTGATGGGAGATTAAGTATAAATCCAAATTTTAATAGGTTTTGAATTTTGCTTTTATAAGTTTCTTCTGTATCCTAATACAAGTTTATAAGTTTCATAAGTTTCTTGGCGATATAAAGGGCTTGCTTCAGGGCGAGAATAAACGCCCTTCTCTCTTTCCATCTTTGTGTCATCTACTTTGTCTTTCAAGAAAGACCAGTTACTTACGAACCAGTATTTTCACGTTCGATCGAGATCATTTTCGCGGGCGGGACACCTACTCCTTCCAGGACCTTGTATAGATCATATATTGCTCCACGGTCAGTAACGAGACGCGCAATATTGAATAGAATCAATTGAAACGATAAAGATCAACCGTTATCTATCAAACTCGCTCGTTATCACCCGTTACTCTTTTCTCCGGTCATTTTAATTATCTCCGGACCACAGTACAACGTTTAAACAATATGTAGCAACGACGAAACGGCGGAGACCTGTCGCGATTCAATGGTGGGAAGCGTACAGACGAGTGCACAAAAGCCACCAGAGCGATACAATGCTGGCTTACGGATGAAGTGACTCGTTTTGGGGGGTAACAACGACAAGGAGAAAGCAGAGAGAAAGAGAGAGAATCTGTAGTCGCTCTGTCGCTAGAGAAAGGCGACAGAAAAAGGGAGAGAGAGAGAGAATGAGGAGGAGGACAGGGGATATGATAGAGGAGCCGGAGGTGGAGGATGTAGTTTTAAGCCAATAGCGATGGTTCGTCCAGGCGTGTGGCAAACGTTGGCACAGCGTCTCAAACAATGTGAACAAAAGAACATCAATTTTACGTTTTTATCGTCCGGCATTGTCTATCTTCGACAATGCCCCCGCTCACGCGCGACTCGCGGCGAAACTGGCCCTGTAGCGGGGTAAGGGGAGGGTAGCGCGCACATCAGGATCAAAACGAATCCGTGCGGAGGGGGATGCTGCGTTGGGGGTCCTTTGGAAAAGAATCGCGGACGCGTGACGTTTGTTGCCGACGCGAGGTAGAGGAGCCGCCGACGTTGGTTTTGCGGGGCTGGGATAAAAGCGGATTGCGAAGAAGTAAATTGAGACGGTCGCACTCACAGCCCCGGGTCATTATATTTGTTATAACAATCGCGTTGCGTGTCGCGGATGATGTACGAGCGCAATTAAAACGCGCGCGAGCGAGCGCCCGCGATAAAATATGCCTGATGCGGAATATTCGGTGCGACCCCTGTGCGCGCTTGCGATCGTGCCGCTAAAAAGCAGGCAGGTAGGTAAATTTGAAGAGGGCAATTACTCGCAGCGCTGCGCGTCCTGTAACGAGACGACTTAGAGTTTGCAATTAAACAGCAACAATTACACGGGGTAACTTTAGACTGTAATAACACAGAATAAAGGGTTGCCAGTGGCTGCGACTAGGCTCCCACCCTCCTGGTTAGAGGATGATTTACCGATGCAATTAGCTCTCTCTCTCTCTCTCTCTCTCTCTCTCTCTCTCTCTCCTCCCCCTTCTCTCTCTTTCTCTCTCTTTCGCCCTCAATACACACGAATACACACACACGTGTACATTAGCGCAAGCGCGGGCATCGCATATTCGCTTTCTCCCCGATTTCTTTGCTTCCGTCGAATCCGGTCAAACATAATGACTACTCGATTAAACTTTCGCCCCTGCAACTCGGATTTGATATCTCGTCGGGGCGATATTCGGCGAAATTACAAACGATGTAAAATTTCTCATTCGTAGATAATTACTATTTGCAATCGAAATTGTTATAGCGTAAAGTATTTTTGTACTTTTTATTATTTTTGAAAATGGTATTAATTGTTTATATGGTACAATTACAACGCGTAATATTACACGTTATTGCTCGTGCTTTTTCATTATGTTTGATAAGATCGCGGCGGTTATCTGTTTCGAAGTGACGTCCGGATTGTGCTCGCGTGTGTGCGCGCTCTCGGCTCGACGCTCGACCCGCAATTTTCGCGATTCGCCGCGGTGCGTCGAATAAAGATTTTATCTGAGAAACTGGCGAGAGACGCGCACGGCGAAGCAGCTGAAACTTTGATGCGCCGAAGCTTGCGCGCAGAGGACGGTATTACTCTTTGAAGGCTACGGCCACGTCGTGGGAACGATCCGTAAAGTGCCTCTCTAACGGGGTCACGCATTGCCACCGGTGGTATCATTTATTGAATCGCAACGTCTTCTTTCCATCGCGTCGACCGAACATCGTTTTCGCGCGCTTCTCTTCGCCTCCTCGTGTCGGCGTCACCTCGATCTCTCTCTCTCTCTCTCTCTCTCTCCCTCCCCCCACCCTCCATTGTCCTGCAGCCGGGTTACCCTCGTTAAAGATTCAGCCGAGTTATCTGAGCGCCGTCCAGATTGAAATTTTTCATGCAGACCCGAGAATCGTCTTCACTTCTCCTCGTTAACTGCTCTCGACGCGGACGATTCACCAGTTCGATGTTTCTCAGATGTCCCACAAGTTGGAGATCTTATCCCCCGTGAAATTTTGCGAAATAAATGCGTAATGGCGACTCGTAAACACAGGTTCGATCTTGACGAGTAGACGCGGTAACCTCCGACCAACGATCTCTTCTCTGGACTTTCAAAGGATGAAAAAAAATTGCAACGCGTCGCGGGCTCCCGGGTGCCGTGAAACGTGTCAAAACGGCCGTAAACAATGTGATGTATCCCGCGATGCGCAGGGGTAGACGAGATACGCGTGCGACGAGGCAGGGAAGGCGGCTGGCGAGCACGTAATAAAAAGAAAATTGAATGGAAACACTTACGGAATTGCGCCAATTACGTAGGTGCAGGCGTGCTAGATGCGCTCGTGCTGTAATAAAGCGCCCGCATGGCGCGGCGGCGGCGGTGGCGGTGGCGGTGGCGAATTTGTTCTCATTGCGATGAACGCAGAGCGAAAGATAAATCAAGTTTTAAACGTTTATGACTTGGCTCGCGCGGGCATTATACACGACGAGCTTCGATACGATGGAAATTAAAACTTTGTAAAAAGGGCTTTGTCCAACCGCGATTTTAATATTTCGCTCGTGATATAGTCGTGAACAAAAATATTTTCGTACCTGAAAATGTCTTGCGATATGTTTCTGCGTCACTATAATTTCTAGACTTATTGTTAGTCTTCTATATTATACATCTCTCTACTACCTTTTCTCTCTATGACTAGATGGACATCGAGAAATATTAGAAAATATTTTTGCAATTCTGATGATCTTAAATTTACTATATTCTTTTTACTTTCTAATTATTATTTGTAAAAAATAATAAGGTACTTGAGAGATATCATACTTGATGTCGCTTCAACATTACATGTTTTAATTTTAATTTTTAATCAGGATTTTATCCAATCAGCTCCAGTATAACTGACTTGAATAGAATATCTGTACACGCCTTCTGACCTTCCTTGTCGCACTGATTTTGGGCTACGTCGTATCACACGGTCGGGTAAAAATGCCCTAGAGGGGCTAGGTGGAAAATTACGGGGCAGCGTGCGCGCTGATATCGTTCCGCGGCAGACATTTGCGCCGTTTTCGCGAGAAAGGATCGGGCTTTGCGCGGCATTATTCGCGCGCGCATAATGGAAGGCCCCGGGAATGACTGCGCTTGTGCAACGCGATAATTCCATTGCCCGCGCAATTACGACACAGTATCTGCCTCTAGCCAGACGGCCGAAAAAGGTATTCCGAAGCGTTACAAGGATTATTTTCATTTAAACCGTCGAGAGTATTGCCCGGTTGAAGCCCGGATATTAATTCTTTTTTTCCCCCCACGTCTCTCCTTCCCGCTCCGAGATTAATGGGGGATGATTAATGGTGAAATACAAATATGCTTTCGTCGATTATATCGCGCACGTATGATGAAACGCAGTAGGAATATCGATTACAATAACGACAAGCGCATTGTTTCGATTAATTCGTTTAATTTGAGTTTATTGTAACATTGTAACTTTGTTCGTCATTTTATTTCTGATGTATCGCGATTTGGTAAGCAAAACATTATTATCCGTTATAGTTATATTCTTTCTAAGAAATAAACAAAAATCTCGGCTAATTCTCTGTTCATTATTGCTAATGCTGCTTGATGAAGCAATAGCATTAAAAAGTAATTCATATATTTCTCAGAAAAAAAGCCCGATGCGCTCCAAGAAAATAAGCACTTAATTATTGTAAAATAACTTTTTCATGCCATTCTTACCGTGTAAAAAAAAAGTAGCAATGTATTTTTTGTGTAATATAAAATAATTATGCAAATCTGGATTAAAAGATTAGAAGAGCGACCGGTATCGAGAAAACGAGAGAGAGAGAGAGAGAGAGAGAGCGATGGTTGCGCCGAAGGGCGAAAGGGCGGGTGGAAAGCGAGAGGGATAGGTATCCGATTGGAGTGTGGCGTCATTTAGCAGACGACGCGTATAATGGGGGAAACGAGCGAAACCCGGTATAACCCGCGCGCTTGCTGCCAGCACGGCCACGCGCGCAGCAACGCGATAATTCTATTTGCCGTGCGATTATGAGAGTATCTACCCCGAGCCAGACCCGACGCGGCGCGGCGCCATGCCATGCCGCCGTGCCGCCGTGCTCTCGTATTTCGCTCTCGTATTTCCTAGCCCGGGATCAAAGCGGATGCGAAGCCGCTCTCGCGGACAGAGGCCCCGATAATAATTATTTATTCGATACGTTACGATATGCTCGTTATCCAGCGGAACTCCTTTTTCGTCCTCCCTTCCGTCCTCGTCGCTTTTTCTTTCCCTTTCCCTCCTCGTGCCCCGATCGATCGGATTTGGAATAACGAACGGGGTCGACCGGGGCACAAGATCGAACCTCATTTGTTAATCGCGTTCTCTTCGAGTCTCTCTTTGAGTCTTTACGGAACCAACTAAATCTCGCGGTTAACGATCAATGAATAATTGCCGTACGCATTCTTTTTATATTTTTGATGACAACGATTAACTGCTTTTTCTGTATCTTCGATTGGAGTGTAATTATTCGACGACGAATAAAACTCCGGTAACTCGCGAAATGTTGGGCGAATCGGCGTGCACTTCCGACGACCGACATAGCGTGTTTCCATTTTTTTACTTGCAGGTTTTGCGTAGGCGATCGGTTTTACTTGTGCGAGAACAAGATTCTCTGCGAGTACGACTACGAGGAGAGGCTAGCGTTCGCTAATATGGCGTTACAGTCACCCGCCTCATTAGCATACATCAAAAGGCAACTCCCTCCTACACCAACGCCACCGGGCCAGAACATGCACCCGGGACACAATCCGCTCCAAGCTCATCAAGGTCTTGGGCAGTCGGTAGCTCAGCACAATCATGTGCCCAACGTAAGTGCTAACAAACTGCCTGAACGAGTCTGGTTGATAATAAAGTAAACTCGGGGATAAATTCGCGATGCGAGCGTAAATAAAAATTAATAATGTTCTAAAGTAGCAGGGTAAATGAAATATTATGTGTCTCCATAGTCTATTTTTTCATTTTATTAATAATTATAATACATCTTTATATAAGCGTTGTAATTTTTTCGTGCGAGAGAGAGATATACCTTTCTCCTTATAATTTGTAGTAATTGAGGCTCGCGATGATTGATGCTGCAATGTGAGAGTGATGTCTCACATCTCGCGAATCTTTTATGACTTCAGGGTCAAATGTCAGGCGGCACGCCGACGATGAACGGGACGACTGGGGTCGGCGGACCGAGGGCGCCGGGTGATATGAACAACAACGGTCTGTCCGGGCCCGCCCTCGGGCCCGTGAAGCCACCCCCGATGTCCATGCAGGCGCCAACCAGCTGAAACGAGGCTTCGCCGCCTCTGAAGAAGCTCAGGTGTCTCAGCGGTTACTAAAGCCGACGGGGGTTCTCTTCGCTCGTGGAATGTAATCGTGGATTGCGGGCAGCGAGAAAGGGGGAGAAAGGTATACGTTGCACCGCTGAGAATGACGAGATGGACAAAAAAGGGGTGGATGGGTGGACGACAGAGAGAACGGGCGAGATGTAGACGGGGGGAGGGGGAGGAAACGTCAAACGCGCGAAGAATTGGGACTCCGAAGTGGAATCCGAGGCTTCGAGGACAAAGTGACGAGTCTGGAGATTGGAATCACTGTGATCGTGGAAAATGGACACAAATTTAACGGAAGATAATGTTAATACAGTGTAGGACACGTGTGTGGCGTGAGCTGGAGCCCGGCACACCGTATTTACCGCAGGCATACAGGTACATACAGATACGTACACTAATACACGAGCATAGACACACATACACACTCCTCCCGGGCAACGCAAACGTTTAAATGACGTCGTAAAATTCTCCAGACGTTCTTCAGGCATCTCTCAGACTTTTGCGTTGTTTGCTGATGCACGTACGCGTCTTGTAAGATACGATACGACACCCGACACACACACAATGATAAATTAGATAATTCGTGTAAGATATATTTCTCTAGCGTGATGGGAGCGAATGTGGTTCCGCGCGAGAGTGCGAAAATTACATGCGCGTGTGTATGTGCGTGCGTGCGTGCGGCGGAGTCGCCTGTAAATATATATGTGTCGTATTCGACTCCGCGAGAGTGAGAGAGGACGAAACAATTACCACAGTATACGCACGCCCATCGAGATGACTCTTGTCCCGCTCGTGATACCGCCGTCGTCCACGCGTAAGGACGTATAAGGAACGCCGGATTTGAAAGGAGAGGGAACCTTAGCGAGAGCGAAGGAGACGCGAGGGGTTCTGTAACACGTGCCATAGTCCCACGATCTCCCGTTTTACAGCCGGCCGAGCGCGGGCAGCCACGAAAGGGAAAGGAAGCAAGACGACATGACAGTCATCTTATATTTCGAAATTGGATAATCGGGGGAGCGCGATAACACCCGATTCTTTTCGGGATATATTCGGGTCTGAAAAATTAATGTCCTAAATTTTCTGTCGCCTCATAGCACCGGTTGAATTCTTCTTCGTGGCCCTTCTAGTCTCCTGAAATTTCTGTTATATGTGTTACACGTCGCGAGTCAGACGCGCGATCGGCTCACGCGACAGCCGATACCAAAGATTAATTAACGACATTAGGTTAAGAACCCCTCGGAACGAGCGCCGCGGAAAGATTCAGTTTTAGACAGCCCGACGCATCACGACGAATTATTTTTCGTAAGCTTCATCCGTCGGCGAGTCTTCGCGACGGTGAAGAGCAGCGGCGGATTATCGCTTAGGGGCCTCCGAAACTTAACTTCGAGCGGTTTCGCAAAACGATAAAGCATATTACTCTCAAACATTTTACTAACTTTCATTCACTAACTTTCGTTCGTTGACAATGCTATTTTTATCATAATTTTAAATTTTCATTGACGATAGCGAAATAGAGGGATTTAAAGTGATTTACTGGCTGAGGGCTTTTAAGTATTCCATAATCCGCCACTGTCCGAGAGTCGCGAGCTCCCATCGGAGCAGAGTGAGGGACTTAGTCACTTAGCTTTAACGCTTTAATGCCAAAAATACAGGCGGCGCTTATCTATACCAAACGCCAAACGGCATACATTCGTAATCATACGGAGCCAGAAAGGAGACCGGCGGAAACGCTCTCTGCCGCGTTTACCGCCGCGGCATTATTAACTGTGAGCTCGTAACGCTATTAACTGTGAGCAATTTCCCGCGACGCCGGAAATACCGGTCCGTCTCATTCTCGCGTTACATCCGGGCTTTCTCTCGTTCGCGGCCGGTTGCGCGCGAAAATAACACTTCTCTTCTCGTTCCATATCACAGTTAGCAACAGTGACACTTTTTATCTCGTGGATATGAATTAGTGATCCATATTACAAATTTGTTTATGCCGAATAGGATTGAACATTATTGTTGCAATTATTTAGAAATGACAATTAAAATTGCTCCGAATTCGAACGAAGTGATCACTTATCCGTTTAACGCAAGGTGCGCGAAGTCTGAGAGAAAGTGCGCGTAACGGGAAATTAGTTTACATCGAACATTTGTAAATGATCGAGGAACAACGGATCGAACCCGACGACTGTCGCACCGCGTTAGTACAAAGGTCCTGCGACACGGCGGAGGGGAACAGGTCGGACGACAGAGGCAAGCAGTACGGGGCGCAAAGAACATTGTCTCCCTACGTAGGACAGAGAAGAGAGGGGACGACACTTTCCCATTTTTTATCCATCTGTATATAATATCACTTACCTAGGGCTCTATTAATAATATTAACGACCGCCTATCCCTCGCGAGGGGGGGAGGCAGCTCCCATTACTACCGAGAAAATATAACATTCTTATAAATACAACCTGGTGTATTCCAAGAGCGTTTTTCATTTCCAGTCGGAAGGATCTGCGACTTCGACTCCGACATACCGGCAGATCCTACGTTCCGCGACCGGGACGTCGCCTTCTTCACCTTCGCCATCACACTCTCCTCAGTTTCAACTCCTTCGTCCCTTTTCCCACCCAGCGATCTGTCTTTTTGCTGTGCCACGAGAAATCGAAATTGAGGTAAGTCCCGACATATATGAAAGTTCACCAGATCTGATCGAGGGCCCTATTCAATGCGTGATTCCACAGGGTGGAAGGATCGCAGGAGGGGTTAAGAGGGGAAAGACGGTAGCCGACGCTCTCTCGCGTGGCGCCGAGCTAATACGAGAAGGGTGGAAACGCGATTTCCCTAATGCCCGCCAGCCCGCGGAGCCGAATGTTATTATGCGCGGTGAAGACTTTATAATGGGACGTGGAACTCCTTAAAACTCGCGGATACGCGCCTTCGAAAACGCCGGGCGGCTCCGTTACGGCGCGGAAGCGAGCCCATAACTGAAAACTTATGCCGCTGCGATTGCGTTATGAGGTCGTTTCGCTCGATGGGCTGTGTTTCATTTTTAGAATTGCGCGCCGAGTGATTCGTAATCGGTTGCGTCACGCCGTTACATCCGCCGTTCGTGGTGAAAAAACTCGGTCGCTCAGTCTAGTGAAATACATTGTAATTAATGATTCGGTCAAAACGGACAACGCAAACATCACGAAGTCGCTTTGTTTGATGGATTCTACTAGTTTCGCGATTAGAGAGAGAAAGAAAGAGAATGTATGTGTTTGTGTGTGTAATTACATCGAGCACGTAACGCTATTGATTTTTTTCCAGTTAAAAATCACACTTTCGGGTTAATAAACTTCACGTTGTAATAAATTACGCGATGCAGTTCGAAGATAGCATTAGGAGGCCCAGTCGACTTTAATTAATTTTTCTGGGAGCGGCCCAGAAGTTGTTTTAATTCGTACTCCACGCAATTCATCGGCGAAGATCCTATCAAAAATAATATCCACCTTTAATGCGTTCGGGCCGGAAGGGGTTAACAATCTCGGCTCGCTTCCGGTGCGTGCTCGGGCGAATTAATCCGACGTCGCGCGAGTAGCCGCGACTCGTCATCTCGACCCTCGAACCACGCCGCTCTACCACCAGCACCCCTACAGCCGAACACCACTACCATCACCACCACCACCACCACCACCGTCAGCGTCCACGTCCAGAGTCGCATTAATCACGTCGAAGGCAGACGGAGGTGGCGGCGACGCGAGCGGGGGCCAAGGGCGATGCGAGACTAGGAACGAAAGGGAGAACAGAACCCCTTAAAATAATCTGGCCCGAAATGAAATCAGCCAAGGCAATTTCCAACCCCCTCCCCTCTCTCGTATCCGACCGGCGATGTTAACAGCGGTGGCGGTTTTATCCCGCCCGGACGGCGGTCCCGTCCTTTCCCTTTCTACCCCCCCTTCGTCCATTCTCCCGATTCCGTCGTGGTGCAACCGACAAATGACGACGCGGCGGCAACCCCCTCGCGGCGACTCACGGAATTAAAGATCACGAGATAAGAGTGTCATCCTTCGCTATGCATTATGTGTTCGGCAAAAAGCTCGCCCCTGGGCCATCCTGCCGTTCCACCGCCTTTGCCCCCTCTGGCACCCTCTCTCTTTCTTTTCTCATCTCTCTTTTCGCTGCTTGCCTCCTTCTAGCACGCGTTTGTTTCGAGCATACGGGAGAGAAAGAGAGAGGGAGTAAAAAAAAGATGAAAGACTCCAATTAATCTACTTCATCCATTTTTTGCCCGTTCAAGGCATCTCCGCTGGCGTTCCTTTCGTATCGACATTCTTTTGCTAGCATGCTGTAGATATAATGAAGTCCTGAACGTTGAGTGCCTCGCGAGTTTGTAAAGATTTTCTTGGAGACGATTGTGCAACGGGATGTACGCGAGGATGCATCTCGGTTATGATCCGCACATCCTTTCTCGGTCCGGGCGAACGAGATCTTGGCCGCGACCGGTAGTCGTATTTCAAGTTTTATCGCCTTGAAAACATTAAGAAGCTAACACAGAACGTTGGGGCTAACTTCTGAGGCGAATTCATCGAATCGAAGTTCGAAGGCGTATTGTCGAAGTAGCGCGATAATAATTGCGAAACTGAATATCCCTAAGTTTATTAGGTGTAAACAATAAAATACGGAATAGGAGGAACAGAACATATACTTATTGCATAAAAGCAATGAATATTTTGCCAATATAATACTACAAAAATTTATTAAGACACGGTTATATGTATTTATAAGTTGCAACCAGCAGTCCTTCGGAGATCACATCAAGACTTCAAAGTAAGTAAATATTAAATAAAGAATAATTTATTTTTCATCAACCTAAAGAGAATTTTTATAAAATATCTTGTCTCGATTCTACTTGGTAATCGTTATATTTTTCCAATAAAAAATTAATTTTATTCGAGATAAACGTTCAAGAGCGGATCGAGACAGGGAGGGAGTGAGGGAATCGCTTAATATCGTCGGCGAAAATCGAGTTTCAGAAGCCGTGTTCTGAAACAATCCTGAAACAATCACACGGTTTGGTCGTTAGTACGTAAGGCCGTGCACACAGACAGAGAGCCTCCACGGCCTTTGGTTCGGGTGCGGGAGTCGACGCCGTAGGGCCGCGCGTTATGTATAGGGTGTACCGAAGGAAATAACCGTCATCTGTATTCGCGATAACATCGTAATTGAATGCGGTTGACGGGGATTTGCAGCGTACGACGGCCGACCACTGACGGCCCCCGCAAACGGTTCCCCTTCTCACCGCGCTCTTGCAATTCTTCCTCCGTCGTGCCCTTCCCTCTTCGCGCACCCCGCTACCCTCACCGATGATCCTTCCCTACCTTCTCCTCTTCACTTTCCTTTTCTTCTCCTTTTCTTTCGCTGACATTTTTTATTCTCGCCTCGTTTCTTATCCTCAAAAATGAATTTAGAAGATGTTATAATGCGGAATTAGATACCGTACGATTGAGAGAATATAAAAAATTCCAAGGAAAATTTTTCTAATAAACAATTAAAAATTGTTTTATTTTATAAGCAATAATTTTTTAATTTTGATATAAATTAACGTCCTTTCATATTCCTCGCAGCCAATCTTCCATCGGGATCTCCTCTGTTCTCCCGTTGTTTACTTTTTCTACCCCGCTTCCTGAGCCGACCTTCTCATTCGCGTCCCACCATTTTCCTCCGTCGTACCCCTCCCTCCTACCCTTCCTTCGTTCACTTTTTATCTCCCGAAAGTGAAGCATTAATCATATCAAGGCACGGGAAATCTACTTCGATATTTAGGGTGTGCCGTGGTATTGTCACGTGTGTGTACACGCGTGCGTGAGCGCGCGGGGAAAATCGGGGATGCCCGAGTGGCTGGTGGTAAATAGCGATACGACGATAGCATAGAGAGGAGAACGCAGCGAAGTTTATGAGGGAAATTTCGAAAAGGAGTTTCTGGGCTATTTGGAGGGCTGTTTGGTCGTCATTTTCTCGTTCAGAAGCGCCCGTCTGTGACCTTTTCTCGAAGAACCGAATAACAGGAGGCAACTGTGTCTTCGAAGATGGATTCGGGTCAATACGGTCTGCGGTATTCTAATTGTGTCGCGACACCTCTAAATTTACTTCCTTCGACACAGACGGTACCAAATCACATAGTCCTTGACCGATCTGAGATTGATTTTTTCTCAACGAAAATGTTGAAGTATTCTCTCTTTCGGACTCTGTCCAGTAATCAATTATTAGAAATAGAGGTCTTACCGCACTTTTCAAAAGAAGGGATTAAATAATGGAAGTATGGATTCAATTACAAGTGGATTATATGATAGAATTATATTTAATATAATATAATATAATTTTAATTTGCTCAGTTACAAAGATATATAATATCCAAAAGTAAAAATATGTGATAAACGAACTTTCATGATATTTTCGATAAAGAAAGATTGCTTCTAATGTGACTAATGCAGCTGCAGCTAAAAAAATACAATGATGAAAATCATATGATGGTTTTGAATGATATTTGCACAATATAGATACATGTTTTCGAATGCTCTTTCTCGATGCCGAGCTTCGACCGTCGGCACTTGGCCCGGTTAATCCCGGCGCGAGATCGGAAAAAGGACGGGCCGCGCGCATCGCCGCTAATCAACGGTAGAAGAGGTCGTTTTGCGATCCGGGATAGCGATCCTTGCATGCGGAATGCGCTGATGGGAAATACTTGTTACGTCGTGGCTACTGTCACGGTCGCTGATTGGCGCATGACCGTTGGATTTCGCGCTTTATTAATGGCCGTCTGTCGTCGTCCTTCTCCCTCGCGCTCCCTTATCCCAGACACGGGATCTCCGATCTGGGTTCACCTCTCCTCCCCTCGCCCTTTCGGTATCGGCTGTCCCTGCGTTTCCGCGTTGCATCGCGCCACGACGCGACGTCCGACGCCTGCGCCCCGCCAAATTATTTACGGAATCTCGCGTTTTTCGCGCTTTTCGTGCCCTGATTTCTCGTCCACCTCGGCTCGTGACGCAGATCGCGAGCGAGATTTTATTTCGGGAGCACATCGCGAAGATCGATCGCGACCGCACGCCTCCGATAACACTTCGCGGTTTAATGTTTCTCAACTTTCTCGCGGTAGGATGGAAAAAAATTAATACAAGCCACACCCGGTCAGCGATGCACACATTGCATCTGTCAGATGCGTTATTTCACAAATATTGGTCTATAATTTTGCAAATATTAACGTATTGAGATTTGAAGTGATATGAACATTTGATAATTATTGAATTGCATTATTGTGCGACGCTATCGTATAAGGTGAAAATTGATAATACATCAAAGGGTTAATAAACATGTTTATTATATATGTTTATGTCGATCATGGCAGCGCCGCTATAGTTAATCTATCGGTATATATCGGAATATGTGCAGACTTAGACAGAACACAACAACGGGATATACGATGTAGAATAATGTGGAAATAATTGCTGCGCACGCGAGAGAGACTGATTGAACGATGTACATATTAAATCGTTGCATACTATTTCCTGATAATCAATGCAGCAACGATGCGTTTCTATGTCCGATATAATAGCATCGTTATATTGCGGTTACATAAATCAGTGATGAAGTCCGAGCTACATGCTCGGCGCTTGTAATATTCCGTTTGCCGGATTTCCGCGAGCGCGCGCGCTTGTAGAAAATTATAATTACGCGAGCTTCGATCGCGTAAGCCTATAAATGTATATTGTAATTGTCCAACAATTTTCGTCATAATATATACTGGTCATATTGTACGGGCCGTCTCAGACCTATCGTAAAATATTTTCGAGGTAAATCCAAACGTGAATTCGATTTGGGACAATTCAACATTGAGTTTGCATATAAATAAACTACAAATAATTGCTGAAGTAAAATGGATCTGCAATACAATAGAGCTTGCTGTTCTGTTTTATCAGAACTTATTTGATTCATTTTTTCTGAAATGCGACAGTTCAATTGATATTAAATCTAACATTAAAATCATGTTAAAAATGCAAATTTAAAGGATGTAACGCGAGAGATAGGTACACAGGATAGAGAGTTAATCAAGAATTGAAATTTATTGTTCGTTTATATGCCTTTGAATAGAATTATCATGTCGGCCGGATAATCACGCGTAAGCAGGAAGAAGGGACGTTTAGACTAACTTCCTTACTCCAAATCTCCGAAGTCTCGTTTATCGTATTACCAAGTACCATTCGCGGCGTAGGAACTGTATCGCAGCGAGAATAACCGTTTGGTAGCTGCTGCGAAGGATCTCACGCGCGAGGATACGGGCTGGCGAGACAAACTAAGAATATTACCTTCGGGAATATATA